TGATACCCATGTCCCAGCACAGGAGCAGGTGTCTCTCCATCTACCAGTATCCACATTTCTGCTGAGCCATGATTATTGCATTGTCTTCCAGCCCCACTTTTATCCCACATTTACCCCCTTTTAATTTTTTTTTTTTTAATACAAGTAGGTCCCCTGGAAGATACTGGTCAGCTGGATCCCTAAAAAAGCCTTCCCCTCCAGCTTTCTGCATGGGGAAAGAAAACTGCAGTCATGTTTCCAGGAGATATTTCAGGACAGAATTCCCAATTTCCATTACAGGCTATGCCAGTGCAATGGGCAGGAGAACAGGAACTGCTGCAAAACAGTGGAGAAAACACATCTCGCAATCTGTGCTGAAGGTTTGTGGTTTTTTACCTAAAACATACAGTGCCTTCTTTGTAAATTGAGCTTAAAATAACTTGGGGCAGGGAGGCAGAGGGGAAGGACAGGGACTTAATATTGAGTTTTAAACGAAGGGGCATGAGCAGATTTAGATCCAAGGGCGGGACCAGGTGCAGGCCAGGCCAAGGGTCACACAAGCGCGTCACCGGCGGTCCCCGCTGTCCTTCCAGATTGGAGATCGCGACCCGAGCGCGGCCTCTGAACCGCAGCGCTGCCGGAGCAGCTTCGCCCCCGCGGGAGCGGCACCGCAACCCCCGAGGGACCACCGGGGCCGGGGGGGCTCCCGACACACAGAGGGCACGTCCCGCACGGTCCTCCCGGAGGGGTCGGACGCGGGACACCGCGGGGACACTGCGAGGACAGGGCGGGGACACGGCGGGGACACGGCGGGGTCACGGGAGGTGACGCGGGGCGGGGGGGCGGCGGCGCTGCTGCTCTGCAGGGGTCGGTGCCGGAACCGCCGCTCGCGCCGGCGGGACCCCCGCAGGCAAGACATCCCCCTCCCCAGCAGGGACACCATCCCACCGCGGGACACCCCCCATTTCGGCAAGATAACCCCCCCCGCCCCTGGGAGGACACCCCCGACAGATCGCACACACCACCTCTCCCCCTTCCCGGCAGGACATCCCTCCTCGGCGGAACCCCCGCCCGGCAGGACACCCCTTCTCCCACCACGACACCCCCCATTTGGGCAGGACACCTTCCCCCTCCTCTCTAGCCCCCCCCCGGCTGGACACCGACACCCCCCAGGAAGGACACCCCCCTTCCTCCCGACAGGACACCCCTTCTCCCAGCAGGGCCACCCCCAAGGCTGGGGGTGTTTTGGGGGGGTGGGTTTTTTTTTGGGGGGGGGGGGTCTCTGTGCGCGCTCCCGCCCGCGGGCCCCGCCATTGGCCCAAAGTAGGTCACAGCCCGCGCGCGCGCTCACGTGACGGCCCCGCGCGCGCTCCCCCCGCGCCGCGTGACCGGCGGGAGGGGGGGGAAGGGGGACACCCGTGTCCGTGTGTCCGTGTCCGTGTGTCCGTGTGTCCGCGTCCTCACCCCTGCCCAGCCCCAGCGGCCGGTGCCGCGCTCAGCGCTTTGCGGGGGTCGCGGTGTCGCTCCCTCCCCGTGAGCGCGTCCCCGGGGAACGCACCGGGAAACCCCCCCCGCGGTGGCCGCCCCAGCGATGCCCGCGACCCGCTGGGCAGGACACGGGGCTGGGGTGGAAACCGGTGAAATTCCAGCTGGAATCACCAAACCCCATCGTGCACCGGCAGTGGTGTCCAGGGGTGCTGTGCAGGGATGGGTGCCTGTGGGTGCAGTGATGGGTGTCC